TCTGGTCGGCCTTGTTCTTCGCCTTTCGCGCGCGCTGCAGGTCGGCTATAATCATGCGTCTACATCTACAGCATCTGCTCGCGGAGCTTCTCGCTCGAGAGGAAGTACTCGAGCCTCTCCCGCCGCTTGCGCCGCGCCGCCTTTGCCGCGAGCGGCGCCTTGCGGTTGAGCTCCTCTCCCTTCGGCGGCTCGTAGGCGTCGGCGAGCAGGAAGTCGTGGAGGCGCGCCTCGAGGTCCCATTCCCTCTCCTTCTCCAGCACCGGCCACAGCTTGCTGCCGTCGTCGAACTTTTCGTACTCGAGCAGACACACGTCCTCGAGCGTCGGCTCGCGGCGTCCATTCGCCTCCGCTCGCACATAATGGTGGTAGCGAGGGAGGTGCAGCGGCGGCAATTTGTACGACTCATACGGCTTGTCGTCGAGCGCGGCAGCGAGCGAGGCGGTCTCCGCGAGGCCCGTCAGCTCCAGATTGCGCTCGCGAGCCTTCACCACCTCGCCGCTGCCGTCCAGCTCCACCTTCCACCGCTCACCGTCAACTCCCGCGAGACGGCCCACCTTACCGTTGAGCTCGGTACGGCTCGCGAGGTCGCGCAACGCGACTCTCTGGCCTTGAAGGCGACGCACCTCTTGCGGCGTGCGGCGCATGGGATGGGATGGGATGTGCAACGACCAGTCGGAGATTGAGCGCGAGATGTTGTTCACACCTAGATCAACCCTGCGGGAGAACTTCACGGTGGTTCCGCTAGACGTCAAGAAAGACAGGACGCCACACACCAGTGCCAAAAGGCGGCCAGCCGCACAAGTTGACTTACACAAACACCGAAGCTGCAGGCTGTGGCTGCAGCCAGCACAGCGGACAGACAGCCCCACAACACACGCCTCTCCACGCACCACACGCTCCGCCAAGCGCGCCTCGCCCCGCAACGCGGCGCGCAAAGGCGCCGTGCACGTGCACGATGGACTGCCGCCGCTCCGGCACCGACGGCCCGACCGACTCCACCCTGAGCCGGGTGCCTGCTCGGCGGCGTGTGGTAGGTGCGGTGGGCGGCGGCGGGAACGGAGCCGCGGCTGGAGTGAAGGGCGAGCCGCCGCCGCCGCACCACCACCACCAGCGACGATTGTTCGCGGCTCGCCCCCGCCGCCAGGCGCCGGATCGGCAGTGAGGCTCGCGGCGGCGCAGCGTAGGCGCGCCGCATGATAGGTGGTAAACGCCCGACCGCAATGG